ATAAGAATTTCAACTAGTTTATTTGAAAAGTTACCCAAATAAACTTATCAAATAAGCTCGAGCTTCTTAAAAAAACTCGTTCTACCAAGTGGAGTTTATTTGAATACTAAACTAACCAAATAAGTTATAAGCTATCTTATTTGTCTACCAAACACAGTCTAAAATTAAGATGCTCAAGCTCAAGCTTTTAAAAAAAAATCGTTCTATCAAATGAAGTTTATTTGAATATTAAGCTAACTAAATAAGTTATAAACTAGCTTATTTGTCTACCAAACACAGCATAAAATTAAGTAGCCCCAGGGAAATTATTACATTATTATCATCTGAGTAGAGATCAATTTTTGTTGTTTGTACTGAATTCAGCACATGAAAAAGAAAAAGAAAAAAACAAACACATATATATTAACTTTAGCTTTTGTATTCTAAATTAAATAATCTCCCAAATTATTTAAATATTATATCCCAACAAAATATATTATATAAATATTATATATATTGGAAGGAATAATTGTATTCCAGAAGAGGTGTGGGGAGATAAATTTGAATGGAAATCTCACTTTTGATTTGTTTATATATGTTTGGAATAATGTTAGTGGAGGTGAGAAAGGTGACCCACTTGTCACTCCTTTTTTAGGGTTTTGATTATTATCTATTTATTTAAATATAAAAAACAAATATTCTTTCTTGGAGTAAGATCAGCCGTTGATTGGTTGCTTTGTGCATTTAATCCAATGGCCACATTTACCTGCTTCTATTGGAAGGCTGAAGGAATTAGCCAATTTCATTATTATTTATAAATCTCTTTCTATAGTTTAATAAATAAAGATATATTTTGCATAATAAGATTTATTTTTTCTTTAATGTTTTGTAATTTTATTTTTTTAAAAATAATATATATGTCATATTTATGTCAGAGGGCTCCTCCTTATAGTCTTATATTACTGAGAATTGTATCATTGCATTTGTTTTGTAATAACATCTGCATATGTAACTACTAACAAAAAGACACATTCTTTTGGTTGTACACGTGGTTTTCGCGTAATGCTGATGCAATAAAACAGTAATAATAAATAAAAATAGGATATACATAAAAAAAAAAAAGATTATGTTACCTAGTATTATTATGCCTCAAATTTATCAAATAACGTGCAATGAGTTTTTTTAGCGATTACACATTTAAATAAATTGCATTTTAAATGAAACAGTAGATTTATTAAAATAATATTAAATAAATATAGTTTTTAAGAAGCTATTTTTTTTTTTTGGTTAAATTACATAAGTAGTATGTCGTATCAGTAATTTATATTTAATTATTAGCAAAGTTCTATTTAAACAAAATATATATGATGTATATGTATTTCTAATATTATTTAAATGAGGGTAATAATCTATATATATATGGGATGAGCGGAAATATCATATAAATAAATAAAGTTATTTCATGTTATATAATATACTCTAACATATAACTCATAAATCCGACCCCCAATTTCGCTTCT